CACAATACCCACCTTCACCATACCCACCTAACTGTATTGTTAACAAAATTAACATATAATATTACTGTACTTTACTAACCATCATTTACCCACCACCACCAACATACACATCACCATCACCACCACTAGCACATACCCACCTTACAGCATGTTAAAACAAGATTAACTAAATACAATAATATTACTAACATCTACCCACCATTACCATATACCTACCACCACCGCATTACCACACCAACATTACCCACTAACAGTTATTGTTAACAAGTTAACTAACATACAATAATATTACTGACTTAACTAACATCTTTACAAACCACCCACCATTACCCACCTTCACTATACCCACACCACCACATACCCACCATCCAATACCCACCATCACAATAGCCCTACCCAACCCCACCACTACTTACCACCACCACCATACCCACCACTATACTTCACCACCCACCATACCCACCAGCACTATACCCACCCACCACCACCATACTCACCACCAACACTATACTCACCACCACACCATACCAACCACCCACAAATACAACCACCACTATACCATCCACTATACCCACCACCATCACAATACCACCACCACCACACACCACCACCATTACTCACCACCACTATACCCACCATTAATCACCACCACTATACCCACCACCACAATACCAAACCACCACCATTCCACAACCATACCCACACCACCATTACCAACCACCGCCACCATACCAACCAGCACCATACCCCACCACCACCACCACCACTATACCCACCACCACCATTTTTTTTTTTTATTATCACACCGGCCGATTCCCACCCAAGGCAGGGTGGCCCGAAAAGGAAAAACTTTTCACCATCATTCACTCCATCACTGTCTTGCCAGAAGGAGTGCTTTACACACAGTTTTTAAACTGCAACATTAAACACCCCCTCCTTCAGAGTTGCAGGCACTGTACTTCCCATCTCCAGGACTCAGTCCGGCCTGCCGGTTTCCCTGAATCCCTTCATAAATGTTTACTTTGCTCAACACTCCACAGCACGTCAAGTATTAAAAACATTTGTCTCCATTCACTCCTATCATACTCGCTCACGCATGCCTGCTGGAAAGGTCCAAGGGCCACTCGCACACAAAACCTCCTTTACCCCCTCCCTCCAACCCTTCCTAGGCGACCTACCCCGCCTTCTTCCACTACAGACTGATACCTCTTGGGAAGTCATCCTATTTCGCTCCATTCTCTTCTACTGTCCGAACGACCTCAACAACCCTTCCTCAGCCATCTGGACAACTGTTTTGGTAATCCCGCACCTCCTCCTATTCCAAAAAACTACGAATTCTCTGCTTATATTCACACCAACATTGCCCTCAGACATGACATCTCCACTGCCTCCAGCCTTCTCCTCGCTGCAACATTCAATCACCACGCTTCACACCCATATAAGAGCGTTGGTATAAACTATTACTTCTCATACTTCCCTCTTTGCCTCCAATGGACTAAAGTTCTCTGTCTCCACAGACTCCATAAGTGCACCCACTCACTCTTTTTCCCTCATCAATTCTTGAATTCACCTCATCTTTCATAGACCCATCCGCTGAAACGTCCACTCCCAAATATCTGATTACGTTCACCTCCTCCATACTCTCTCCCTCCAATCTGATATTCAATCTTTCATACCTAATCTTTTTGTTATCTCATAAACCTTTACTATTTCCTGTATTCAACTTTAATTTTCTTCTTTTGCACACCCTACCAAATTATCCACCAATCGCTGCAACTTCTCTTCAGAAATTATCCAAAGAGCACCAGTGTTCTTCAGCAAAGAGCAGCGTTGGACAACTCCACTTTGTGTGTGATTCTTTATCTTTACTCCACGCCTCTTGCCAAGACCCTGATATTTACTTCTCTTACAACCCTCTATAAATATATTAAAAAACACGGTGACATCACAATCCTTGTCTATAAGGCCTACTTTTACTGGGAAAAAAATTCCCTCTTTCCTACAACCTAATTTGAGCCTCACATCCCGTAAAAACCTTCACGCTTTCGAAACCACCCCACACCATAATTTGCAACATCTGCCCTTTGCCCCCATCCACCCTGCTACCCTTTTCCCAAATTTAAATCCCCACAAAACCCCTTTACCTTTCTAAATATGTTCATTTATGTTTCACTGAAAACACCTGGTCCACCCACCCCCTCCTTTTCCCTAAAGCCTCCTTGTTCCTGCATCCTATTCTCCGTCTTACTCTTAATTCTTTCAATTAAAACCTACCTACACTTTTCCCAGGTACACTACAGATTTAAACCCCCCCATAATTTTTGCACTTCTTTTACCCCTTGTTTTTTATACAAAAAAACTATGAAGCTCTCTCCCAAACCCCTAGGCCTTACCCTCTTCCAACATTTATTAAATAATTCCCCAACCACTCCAAAACTATACCCCACGTTTTTAACTTTTCTATCTTTTCCCATCAATCCGGCTGCCTTACCCCCTTTCATTTTACCTACGCCTCACGAATTTCCCCCCCCACCTCACAACGGGTCTTCCCACTCCTACAAATTTTATTCCTCCTGCCCTTTACAGAAACACGCTTCCCATCTTCATCAACATTTAAAAATTCTCAAAATATTCCTTCCATTTTCCCAATCCCTCTAACTCCCCTTTTAATAATTTCCCCTCTCCTATTTTTAAAACTGACAAATCCATTTGTTCTCAGTTTTTTTAACTTGTTAAATTCCTCCAAAATTTTTCTTATTTTCAACAAAAAATTTGTTGATAAAAATCTCACCCACCTCTCATTTGCTCTCTTTTTACATTGCTTCACCACTTCTTAACTTCTCTCTTTTTTCTCCATTACTCTTCCCTCCTTATCACTTTCTTTGTAAAAATTCTCATATGCTAACTTTTTCTCCCTTACTCTCTCTTTACTCATCATTCCCCAAACGCCCTCTTCCCCCCTGACCCCTTTCCTTTTAACCACAAACTTCTGCTGAAAAACTCTAAAACTACATTTTTAACCACCCCCCACCTCTTCGACCCCTTGCCCATCTTATTTGCCCCCCTTCCTCCAATAGCTGTTTATATCTTACCCTAAGCCTCCTCTTTTGTTTATAAAAACCCTTTACCCCTCTCTTCCCTGATGTTTTATTCTCCTTGTTCCCATTACCTTTTACTCTCATGTAGTACAACTAAAAGTGATTGATTATCTGTGGCCCCTCTATAAAAATGACTCCCGAATCTACTCAACAGTCTTTTTTACCAATACATAATCCAAAAAACTACGTCATTTCGCCCTACATCTTCGTGATTCTTATTTATCCTTTTTTCTTAAAAATGTATACCTTAACTAAACCCTTTCTTACAAATTCAATCAAGGGCTCCCATTACTTTACACCTGGCCCCCAAACTTACCTCCCCAAACCCCCTTAAAAGTTTCTCCTACTTTAGCATTCAAGTCCCCTACCACAATTCTCTCTCACTTTGGGCAAAGGCTCCCATACATTCACTTAAAATTTCCCAAAAAACTCTCTCTCCCTCTGCTTTCCTCTTTCTCCGGGGCATACACGCTTTTGGGCCCACTTCCGCATCCAACCTTTTCTTTAATCCACATAATTCTTGAATTTACACATTCATATTCTCTTTTTCCCTTTCCTAACTGATCATTTAACAACGCTTTCCCCTCCTTTGCCTAACCTTCCCGATACTCCAGATTTAATCCCATTTTTTTCCCCCCCCTGAAAACCCCACCCCCTTCATTTGTTCGCTTTGGGCCAGGCATCCAACTTCTTTTATTCATAACATCAGCAAACATCTTTTTCTTGCATCCGCATACACCCCGACATTTAAGCAACCCAGTTTTATAAAGTTTTTTCTTCTCTTTTTTAGTAATTGTATACAGGAGAAGGGGGGTTCTAGCCCATTGCTCCCGGCATTTTGTCGCCTATACAACGCTGGTTCGGAGGAAAAGATTTTTTCCCCTTCCCCATGGACATAGAAGAAATAAAAAAGAACAAGAGCTATTTTGAAAAAGGAGAAAAACCTAGATGTATGTATATATATATATGCATGTGCGTGTCTGTGAAGTGTGACCAAAGTGTAAGTAGGAGTAGCAAGATATCCCTGTTATCTTAGCGTGTTTATGAGGCAGAAAAAGAAACCAGCAATCCTACCATCATGCAAAACAGTTACAGGTTTTTGTTTCACAGTCATCTGGCAGGACGGTAGTACTTCCCTGGGTGGTTGCTGTCTACCAACCTACTACCACCATACCCACCACTATACCCACCACCACCATACCCACCACCACCATACCCACCACCATCACTATACCCACCACCACCATACCCACCACCGGTATGGGTCAGTAGGCCTATTGCAGAGAGAACTTGCTTATCGTGGATAAGTATATTTACCACAATACGACTTTCCTAGGATGGGCCAGCAGACCGATTACAGCGAGTAAGATCTACCTAACATGGACTACAAGTGTGTTAAGATAAGATAAGATAAGATAAGATTTCGTTGGGATTTTTAACCCCGGAGGGTTAGCCACCCAGGATAACCCAAGAAAGTCAGTGCGTCATCGAGGACTGTCTAACTTATTTCCATTGGGGTCCTTAATCTTGTCCCCCAGGATGCGACCCACACCAGTCGACTAACACCCAGGTACCTATTTGCTGCTAGGTGAACAGGACAACAGGTGTAAGGAAACGTGTCGAATGTTTCCACCCGCCGGGAATCGAACCCGGGCCCTCCGTGTGTGAAGCGGGAGCTTTAGCCACCAGGCCACCGGGCCCACAGTGATAATGGTGTTCTTACAGTGTCCTTGATATATTGTATATTAGTTGGCAGTTATAGATTAATGTATTGATATTATATATTAGTGTATTAAGTGATAAAGAAGGGGCACACACTTGACCCATGGTGACATCTGTGTGCAGGTCAAACTGGACGGTGGATGGTTGACGGGGGGCAGAGTGTGTGTTCACACTGCCTACCTTCCATAATCTAGCGATGTGTGGTGGTGATTCCTGCTGCTGCTGTTCCTCTGCTGATGGTGGCACTGACGTGGTTAATATTTCACATAATATTGTGAACACTTGATCATCTTTCAGTCTCTCTCCAGCCTTGACTGGAATCACTATATCTCGCACTACCCCCACCATGGTGACTTCGACGCTTAGCAGTGATCCAACCACACTAAGTGACAGTATTCACTGTTTCCCTTCACTGTACAGCACTGCAACCAGTACCCAGGTTTTTTCTACTCCAAACACTGCCCAAATTTCCTCGATTTCAAACACTTCAGGTTTTTCAAGACTCCAGAAATTCAGACTTGCCAGCAACGTATCCTCTCAGTATCCATAAAATGATCAGGGAAGAAATGTTCATGGCAGTAACTATACTGTGGAGTGTATAGATACAGTCGTAAACACAGTCTGGTATCAGCTATAAGCTTGACACTAGAGTTAGGAACACACACACTTCATGTCTTGTGGCTAAATACAAGAGCAGAGTGAACACCTCAGGTGAGGGCAGAGGCTGCTGCACCTATCTGAGAGTCTTATACGTGCTGGACAACCTTGGCTCCTCCCACCTGTTGTTGCCAACGCTGCTACAACATTGCATGCAACATACAACGTCCTTCCAGACTAGAATTACATTCCTGTAACCAGTCAACACAAACTATATCATCAGAACATTTCACACATTTCAAAGTGACTTTGAAAATGATTTTGTTGACATATTGTAATTAGGAACAATGCTGTCTTGGAGCAGTCATGATACGTCTGCTACTTACGTCAGTGGTTTTTGTGAGAGTCACTCACGCTGTGGTCTGGAAAGACCGTCTCTACACCGGCAGCTGGAATCCGGGGAACAGGAATCACCGGGAGAGACAGAGGGGAAATTTTTCCTCTTGTAGAAGCGTCATTAAAATCGTGACACAAGTTCTCCAAAAATTTTGTCTGACGAAAATAAATTCGAGGTTATTTTTTAAATACTGCGATAGGCCTACTGCAGTGATTATTCTACAGCAGTAATAGGCCTACTGCAGTGATTAATACTGTTGAGTTAGTAATAAATTATTGCAGGTATGGTATTGTAGGTCATGAATTATTGCAGCTATGGTATTGTAAGTTGTGAACTGTTGCAGCTATGGTATTCCAACCTATTCATCACTATTTTCATACATAATTACCGTCACTATCACCACCGGCATCATTATCATCACGATTTAACGATGCTTCGGACTGATTACATCATCACCTTCACTACTACTCCCGCTGACTCAGTATTTGACTGAAGAAACCTACCGTGTAGGTCACAGGTACCTAATACATGCCAACTCCAGTACCTTAAACCACATCAAAACTAGGTCAAGGGTGATGGATTGATTACATCGTACATCTGCTACCTCCTCTGTACTCCACTGAAGACGTTTAACGTTTGGGAATAAAGGTACCTAACTGTACATGTGTCTTATTACATATCAGTATGGTATACTATTATCATACTGAGTCCCACAAGTGTTATCACATACCAGTATGGTATATTATTATCATACTGAGTCCCACAAGTGTTATCACATACCAGTATGGTATATTATTATCATACTGAGTCCCGTACCGTAGACAACACCGCCTAGGCGTACGTACTAAGGCAAACATTACTGGCATTTCTATCAATAAGTATTAACCACACAAGTCCAGATGTTAAACTCCAGCTCTACACATCATTAGTAAGACTCCACATTACGAAGCTCGGTTCTGGTCTCCATATTACACAATGCATATAAATTCGTTACAAAATATCAGCGAATGAGAAAATTAACCCATACCATGAGAAATCTTCCTTACGAAGGCAGACAGAAGTGCCTTAACCTACATTATCTTGTAGGCCTAGACGTGAAGACGTGAGTGAAGTGTATAAGTGGAAGATGGACATAAATAAAGGAGATACTATAAGGTTCTGAGGATATTCCTTCAGGAAGAACTTGAAGTAATGGATTTAAACTACCTGGTAGTGGATGAGTCTACCTGGTAGTGGATGAGTCTACCTGGTAGTGGATGAGTCTACCTGGTAGTGGATGAGTCTACCTGGTAGTGGATGAGTCTACCTGGTAGTGGATGAGTCTACCTGGTAGTGGATGAGTCTACCTGGTAGTGGATGAGTCTACCTGGTAGTGGACGAGTCTACCTGGTAGTGGATGAGTCTACCTGGTAGTGGATGAGTCTACCTGGTAGTGGATGAATCTACCTGGTAGTGGATGAGTCTACCTGGTAGTGGATGAGTCTACCTGGTAGTGGATGAGTTACCTGGTAGTGGATGAGTCTACCTGGTAGTGGATGAGTCTACCTGGTAGTGGATGAATCTACCTGGTAGTGGGTGAGTCTACCTGGTAGTGGACGAGTCTACCTGGTAGTGGGTGAGTCTACCTGGTAGTGGATGAATCTACCTGGTAGTGGATGAGTCTACCTGGTAGTGGGTGAGTCTACCTGGTAGTGGATGAATCTACCTGGTAGTGGGTGAGTCTACCTGGTAGTGGACGAGTCTACCTGGTAGTGGGTGAGTCTACCTGGTAGTGGATGAATCTACCTGGTAGTGGGTGAGTCTACCTGGTAGTGGACGAGTCTACCTGGTAGTGGGTGAGTCTACCTGGTAGTGGATGAATCTACCTGGTAGTGGATGAGTCTACCTGGTAGTGGACGAGTCTACCTGGTAGTGGACGAGTCTACCTGGTAGTGGGTGAGTCTACCTGGTAGTGGATGAATCTACCTGGTAGTGGGTGAGTCTACCTGGTAGTGGATGAATCTACCTGGTAGTGGATGAGTCTACCTGGTAGTGGGTGAGTCTACCTGGTAGTGGATGAGTCTACCTGGTAGTGGATGAGTCTACCTGGTAGTGGATGAGTCTACCTGTTAGTGGATGAGTCTACCTGGTAGTGGGTGAGTCTACCTGGTAGTGGATGAGTCTACCTGGTAGTGGATGAGTCTACCTGGTAGTGGATGAGTCTACCTGGTAGTGGGTGAGTCTACCTGGTAGTGGGTGAGTCTACCTGGTAGTGGATGAGTCTACCTGGTAGTGGATGAGTCTACCTGGTAGTGGATGAGTCTACCTGGTAGTGGATGAGTCTACCTGGTAGTGGATGAGTCTACCTGTTAGTGGATGAGTCTACCTGGAAGTGGATGAGTCTACCTGGTAGTGGATGAGTCTACCTGTTAGTGGATGAGTCTACCTGTTAGTGGATGAGTCTACCTGGTAGTGGATGAGTCTACCTGTTAGTGGATGAGTCTACCTGGTAGTGGATGAGTCTACCTGGTAGTGGATGAGTCTACCTGGTAGTGGATGAGTCTACCTGGTAGTGGATGAGTCTACCTGGTAGTGGATGAGTCTACCTGGTAGTGGATGAGTCTGCCTGGTAGTGGATGAGTCTGCCTGGTAGTGGATGAGTCTACCTGGTAGTGGATGAGTCTACCTGGTAGTGGATGAGTCTACCTGTTAGTGGATGAGTCTACCTGGTAGTGGATGAGTCTACCTGGTAGTGGATGAGTCTACCTGGTAGCGGATGAGTGGAAGAGTCTACCTAATAGTGGATGAGTCTACCTGGTAGTGGGTGAGTCTACCTGGTAGTGGACGAATCTACCTACTAGTGGATGAGTCTACCTGGTAGTGGGTGAGTCTACCTGGTAGTGGACGAATCTACCTACTAGTGGATGAGTCTACCTGGTAGTGGATGAGTCTACCTGGTAGTGAATAAGTCTACCTGGTAGTGAATGTGTCTACCTGGTAGTGGACGAGTCTACCTGGTAGTGGACGAGTCTACCTGGTAGTGGATGAGTCTACCTGGTAGTGGATGAGTCTACCTGGTAGTGGATGAGTCTACCTGGTAGTGGATGAGTCTACCTGGTAGTGGATGAGTCTACCTGGTAGTGGATGAGTCCACCTGGTAGTGGATGAGTCTACCTAGTAGTAAATGAGTCTACCTGGTAGTGGATGAGTCTACCCGGTAGTGGATGAGTCTACCTGGTAGTGGATGAGTCTACCTGGTAGTGGATGAGTCTACCTGGTAGTGGATGAGTCTACCTGGTAGTGGATGGGTCTACCTAGTAGTGGGTGAGTCTACCTGGTAGTGGATGAGTCTACCTAGTAGTGGATGAGTCTACCTAGTAGTGGATGGATCTACCTAGTGGTGGATGAGTGGAACAGTGTACCTAGTAGTGGATGAGTGGAACAATCTACCTAGTAGTGGATGAGTGGAACAGTGTACCTAGTAGTGGATGAGTGGAACAGTCTACCTAGTAGTGGATGAGTGGAACAGTCTACCTAGTAGTGGATGAGTGGAACAGTCTACCTAGTAGTGGATGAGTGGAACAGTCTACCTATTAGTGGACGAGTGTAACAGTCTACCTAGTAGTGGATGAGTGGAACAGTCTACCTAGTAGTGGACGAGTGTAACAGTCTACCTAGAATGGATGAGTGGAACAGTCTACCTAGTAGTGAATGAGTGGAACAGTTTACCTAGTAGTGGATGAGTGGAACAATCTACCTAGTAGTGGATGAGTGGAACAGTGTACCTAATAGTGGATGAGTGGAACAGTCTATCTAGTAGTGGATGAATGGAACAATCTACCTAGTAGTGGATGAGTGGAACAATCTACCTAGCAGTGGATGAGTGGAACAGTCTACCTAGTAGTGGATGAGTGGAACAGTCTACCTAGTAGTGGATGAGTGGAACAGTCTACCTAGTAGTGGATGAGTGGAACAGTCTACCTAGTAGTGGACGAGTGTAACAGTCTACCTAGAATGGATGAGTGGAACAGTCTACCTAGTAGTGAATGAGTGGAACAGTTTACCTAGTGGATGAGTGGAACAATCTACCTAGTGGTGGATGAGTGGAACAATCTACCTAGTGGTGGATGAGTGGAACAATCTACCTAGTGGTGGATGAGTGGAACAATCTACCTATTGGATGAGTGGAACAATCTAATAGTGGATGAGTGGAACAACCTACCTAGTAGTGGATGAGTGGAACAATCTACCTAGTAGTGGATGAATGGAACAATCTACCTAGTAGTGGATGAGTGGAACAATCTACCTAGTAGTGGATGAGTGGAACAGTCTACCTAGTAGTGGATGAGTGGAACAATCTACCTAGTAGTGGATGAGTGGAACAGTCTACCTAGTAGTGGATGAGTGGAACAGTCTACCTAGTAGTGGATGAGTGGAAGTCTACCTAGTAGTGGATGAGTGGAACAGTCTACCTAGTAGTGGATGAGTGGAACAGTCTACCTAGTAGTGGATGAGTGGAACAGTCTACCTAGTAGTGTATGAGTGGAACAGTCTACCTAGTAGTGGATGAGTGGAACAATCTATCTAGTAGTGGATGAGTGGAACAGTCTACCCAGTAGTGTATGAGTGGAACAGTCTACCTAGTAGCTTCTAATATAGGTTACAAAAATACACGAGTGAGAGGGGGTTGGTGTTAAGTGGGACTTGCACACGAGTGAGTGGGGTTGGTGTTGAGTGGGACTTGCACACGAGTGAGAGGGGTTGGTGTT